CTAGAGAAAAGAAGCAGATCACATTAAAAGGAAAACCCAACAGAATTACAGCTGACTTCTCTTCACAAACCATACAGGCAAGAAGAGCATGGAGCAAAGTACTTCAGGTCCTCTATGAAAACAAATTCCAGCCCATACTAAAATACACTGCAAAACTCTCTTTCAACTTTGATGGAGAGGTGAAATACTTCCATGACAAAGAACAGCTAAAGAATTTCGCGATGACAAAGCCAAACTTACACAGGCTACTGGAAGATGTTCTAGAGAGGGACCAAAATGATACGAACTCCATGAATGAGATCGGAAGCAACCAACTAAATGTAAGCAATTAAACACAGAAGAAAAAGGTGTAAATGATAAGAGGTAAATAACATGGCAACCGTAAGTCAATACATCTCAATACTAACCATCAATGTAAATGGACTCAATTCACCAATTAAAAAAAATAGACTGGCACAGTTGATTAGAAAACAAACTTCAACAATATTCTGTATACAAGAAACACATTTCACTCATAAAGATATTCATAGCCTGAAAGTCAAAGGATGGAACACAATACTACATGCCCCAGCACTTCAGAAAAAAGCAGGGGTAGCAATTCTATTCTCAGACAGTCTCAACTTCAAACCAACAATGATCAAGCGAAATAAAGAAGGCCACTATATACTGCTTAGGGGAAAAATTCAAAAGGAAGAGGTAACACTCATAAATATGTGTGCACCAAACATGAGAGCACCCAACTATATAAAGCAAATCTTTTTTTTTTCTTTCTTCTTTCCTTTCTTCCTTCCACTCAGAACTTCTGCTTTCCCCACTGAGCCATCAGAAAGAGAGAGTACAGTTCTTATATCATCCCCGCAAAGCAAATCTTAATAGGCATGAAAAATCTAATATCCAATACCACAATTTTAACAGGAGACTTTAACACACACTTATCTCCAAATGATAGGTCAACCAGACAAAAAATTAGCAAAGAAATAACAGAACTGATCCAGAGCTTGAAACAAATGGACTTGGTGGACATATACAGAGTGTTCCACACAAATACAACTGAATGCACATTTTTATCAGCTGCACAGGGCTCATTTTTTAAAATAGACCACATACGAGTCCATAGGTCATGCTTAATTATATGCAAGAAAACAGAAGTTATCCCATGCACATTATCTGACCACAGTGCAGTGAAACTGGAAATAAATGACAAACAAGATGAGTAAAAAACTTTAAACACAAGGAAATTAAATGATACCCTACGCAGCAACCAATGGGTCACAGATGAAATTAAAAAAGAAATTCAACAATATCTACAATTCAATGAAAATTCAAGCACAACTTATCGGAATTTATGGAATACGATGAAAGCAGTTCTCAGAGGGAAATTCATAGCTGTGAACTCACATATTAGTAAAACAGAATAGGGACAAATAAATACCCTAATGCAGCACCCTCAACAAGTAGAAAAGGAAGAGCAAACCAAACCCAGAGCCTAAAGATGGGAGGAAATCATAAAGATTAGAGAAGAAATTAATACAATTGAGACCAAAACTAAACAATTCAAAGAATTAAAAAAGCAAAGAGCTGGTTATTTGAAAGATTAAATGAAATTGATGAGCCCCAAGCTAACCTAATCAAACAGAGCAAAGAAAAAATTCAAATACAAGCAATAAGGAATGAAAAGGGTGTAATTACCACAGACTCAGTGGAAATTCACAAGATTATAAATACTTGCTTTGAGAATCCTTACTCTCACAGAATAGAAGACACTGAAGAAATGGACAGATTCATAGAAAGGTACAAATTACCACAACTGAATTGACAAAATTTAACCACTCTCAATAGCCCAATAACAGCCAATGAAATACGAGACGTAATTAAAAACCTACCGGCAAAGAAAAGTCCAGCTCCGGATGGATTCACACCTGAATTCTACAAGATATTCACAGAAGATGTAGTCCTAATACTCCTCAAATTCTTCCATAAAATTGAAAAGGAAGCAATCCTCACAAAATCATTCCTGGAGGCAAGTATTATACTAATAACAAAACGAGGGAAAGATGCAACTAAGAAAGAGAACTACCGGCCTATCTTCCTCATGAACAAAGATGCCAAAATCCTCAATAAAAT